AGGATCGCTTGAGCCCAGGAGTTTGAGGTTGCTGTGAGCTAGGCTGACGTCACGGCACTCTAGCCCAGGGAACAGAGCGAGAATCTGTCTCAAAAAAAAAAAAAAAAAAGAGCAGCAGAGAAATGGGGCAGTTGCTGGAGGTGTGTCAGATAAATTACTGAGCAATGTCTAAGGAAGGGAGAAGATTTGGGACCTGGGGCACAGGTTGATCTTCCCTAGGAACATGGATTTTTTTCATCCTGAGGACCACCAGAGAAGGTGGAAATGGGGTAGTTGGGAAGGTGTAGTGGGAGTTTGTGGAACTTCTCTTCCAATTTTTTATTATTTTCTTGATGAAAAATGAAGCAAACCATCAGGTGCAAGTGAGGATGAGGTACAGATGATGGAAGTTCAGAAAGGGCACTTGGTAGGAGACAGCCATCTACAGGGAGTGGGAGAATGGATTTGGAGGGGTGAGATTCTGAACTTGCCTCTCAGGGCCCTGCTTCACCCGCTGTCCAGCCTCTTCTCTGCTTTTACTTTCCAGCTACACTGGCTGCCTTTCAGCCTCTCTGCCTTTTCTCTTTGCCAGGAACATTCTTCCCGTTGCTAGTTGAAAGGCCTGTGAGACATCTAAGTGGGGATGGCATGGGGGCTAAGAGACAGGCCTGGAGGGTGGGGTGGTGTGGTACAGTGGCTGAGAGGAGGGACCGGAGTGGAGAAACAACTTGGGAGTTATTGACATGTTCTCTTATGAAGTGAAGTCCTTGCTGTCACCAGGCTTATGTTCTAGTGGGGGGATGGGGACCACATAAACGAGGAACTGTGTGTCTACCAGGAGAAAAATAAAGCAGGTAAGATGGTCAGGGAGGGAGTGGTCAACAAAGCTTTACTGAGAGGTGATATTTGAGCAAAGATGTAGATGTCAGAGTGAGCTGAGCAGATTTTTGGAGGAAGAATAGGTGGAGAAAATGGCAGAGCTCAGTATGTCATGGTGACTGGAGTGGAGTATGGTCATAGAAATAAGAGGAGGAGGGCTGAGAGGTACTGGGGCTTATTGGCCACTGCCAGGACCAGTGTTCGTGCCAGGTGAGATGGGAGCTGTTGAGGGTTTTGAACAGAGGGACATAATCTGACTTACATGTTAACAAAGCCTGTGGCTGCTGTGTGCAGAACAAGCTGTAGGGGGCAGAGGAGGAAGCCAAAATTGCATAGCTATAGCTGTCAATCTTTGCCAGGAATGGGTGACCTTCTTGGGATCTAAGAGTGGGTGGCTGGTAGAGGAGAGACTGGCCAAGGAGGCTGAGAAGGTTGGAGGAAGCCTAGAGGGAACAGTAGTTTCAGAAAGAGAGGGTGTTGAAAGCCACAGAGAGATGGGAGAAGAAATCTGAGAAGCACCTGCTGGATCTAGCAAGGTGGAAGTTTTGAGGGGCCTCCAGGAGAGCAGCATCAGTCGTGGAGTGTGATCAAGAGAGAAGGAAGGTGAGGAAGTGATGCCAGCCGTGGCGGAGGGACACCTTTCTGCTGTGTTTGGCGGGGCTGCGTACTTTATTTGCTTTGCTGAAGGATGCATGTGCAGAGCTGTGTGCTGTGGGTACTGGCATTGGGGCCTGGGAGACTGGCCCGACTGCTGGGGCATGGATGGTGTGCACTCCCTTGGGCAAGAAACCCAGCCTCATGAATGGTGCCCAGGGGTTCAGGTGTGGCACCAGCTTGGAAACACTGTCATAGGGATGTCCTCTTTTGTAGTTCTCAGCTCAGTCCCATTTTGACCAGAAGGCATGTCCCTACCAGGTTTGTTTTCAAGAAGGCATGAGCTTCTCCAAAGATAGTACCCAGAACAGCATGATGGGGAGGAGACTGGGATGTTGTGGGTGGCTTGCTTTTTGTTCCACATCACCTTACTTCAGGAAGTTCCTTTCTGTTCTGTACCTGGAGCTCCACCAGGCTGTCTGCCTATCCCTGCTCCCTCTGCTTTGCTTCCCCGCCCCCTGCACGCCCCCCAGCTTTTCTTTCTTTGGCCTCGTCACTCGGCCACCAGGTGTCGCCCTGGCAGGCAGGATCAGTGCTTCGGGGCTTTGAGGTGTGTTTTGTCCATAGTAGGGTGCTGGTGGCCCAGCTTTTCCCGGGGAAAAATAAGTCACCAGGCTCCCTCTTCGGGGGTCCTCAGAGCCACTACTGCTCTTGGACTGAGGCAAGGCCTGACTCTGGATAATGGGAGAGTCCCTGTGCTGTTCAGGTAATGAGAAGTAGGGGTTGTTAGGGCCCAACCATCAAAGCAAGGTTGAAAAGGGAAAGATTATGCCATGTGGAAGCAGGTGATAGTTAAAAAAAAAGAAAAGGGAAAGATTAAAGAAACCTAATCCGTTGAGCAGTGACTAAGGTTGGAGAGGAAGGAGAAAGCTTATGGAAGGCAGGAAATGTGAGATGGGAGTTAGTGGTCTGGAAAGTCTGGGGGTGGAGGGCAGAAGGAGAAGGGCAGGTGTGAACCTAAGGAAAGTTGTCCTCTGTGGTGATAGCAGTTCTTTTCCCCTGGAGGTAGAGAGGAAAGCTGAGAGTTTGCCTTGTGACACGAATGATCTGTGTCCTTTTGTCCTCACATACAGTTGAAACTCTGCTTTACCAGTGCTGAGGTGGCCTTCAGGGTGTCTGGGAAGTTGGTTTTGAGGGTCTTTTACAGAAATGACCCAGGAGCCTCCCTGAACTCCCCACAGTTCCACAACTTCCCAGGGAGTCTTCATGAATCTTTGTGAGCCTTTGTCAGCATGGACATAACTTAGGCTTGAGAACTTTCATATCAGAAAACTGTGCACCAGGATTCTCATCCGAGTCACAGCAGAGAGACCTGAGGGATGTGGGCCGGTGGGTGGAATGAGAGAGTCTGGTTGTGTGGCATGGGGAGGGAAGTGGAAGGCATGATATCCTACATAAGTTCTTCCCCAAATGTGTTCATTGCCCAGGAGCACCCAGGGGAAAGCCTGACCACCCTCTTGCCACAGGGGCTGCAGCCTCTGGGCCCAACAGAGTGGTGCTTGGTCTAGATGATTTTAGTGGAAATTAGTCTGAACTGTGCCTAGGCCTTGAACCTGACTTTTGTGCAGCCTTTCTCTGTTATGAGCTGATCTGTCTGGCATCCCCCTCACAGATCTCCCGATGACAGGGCGCAGCCCTGTGTTTGCCATGCAGCACATCGTGGGTGGGTCCCACATACTGGTACGGAGGGGTCTCCTTGGAAGGGACCTCCTTATGATCAGGACTCTCTGCAGCCCAGGCCCCAGCCAGCCTGGAGAGAAAAGACCTGAAGAGGCGGCAGCCCTCAGGCTGTATCACCGCCTCGGAGTGCTGGGAAGAGCCTTGGGGCACAGCATTCAGCAACGAGCATCCTCCACAGCCAAGACTTGGTGGGACAGATATGAAGAGTTTGTCGGACTCAATGAAGTTCGAGAGGCCCAGGGAAACGTGACTGAGGTAAGGAGGGGAACTGGGGAGATTGGCCCTGCCCTCTGACTCAGGAAAGGTGGCTTGGTGGCTGCTGCCGAACAAGTCACCAGCCACATGGTGCTGGGAATCCACATCCAGACTTGCCTTTTCTTTTCTGTTTTAAGACAGGGTCTCGCTCTATCACCCAGGCTAGAGGGCAGTGGCATCATCATAGTTCACTGCAGCCTCAAACTCCTGGGCTCAAAGGATCCTTCCACCTCAGCCTCTGCACCTCAGGCCATTGCACTCCAGCCTGGGCGACATAGTGAGACCTTGTCTTAAAACAAACAAATACCATAGTAATGCCTTTCATGGTGTTATATGGCATAAATAAGGCAACACATGGGAAATAGTGTAAAAACATAGGTTCCTTACTGTGGTTTGTATTAGGCAAGAGTTGACTAGGTTTGGTGTGTGTATTGTTTGCTGTTTTCACATTTCTCAGAAGCATATTATTTCTACTTGAATGGATAAAAATCTGGTGATTCTAATGGGCGTGGCCTGGGGCTGCACTTTGAGTACCACTGAGTGAGCCAGGATTAGTATCTAAGGGAATTTGTTTCCACCCTTTGTAGCTCACACCCCAGTGACCTCTTCTTAGCCACAACCTTGTTGGGTAGGAGCCGAGCCTGTGTGAGGGTGGAGAGAAGGGACAGACGGCCTCCGTTGTTCTCTCTGCAGGCAGAGAAAGTGTTCATGGTGGCTCGAGGGCTTGTCCGAGAGGCTCGAGAGGGCTTGGAAGTTCAGCAGGCCAAGCTGAAGGAGGTGAGGGACCGCTTGGACCGTGTCTCCAGGGAGGACAATCAGTACTTGGAACTGGCTACTCTGGAGCACAGGATGCTGCAGGTAGGCACCTTGGGAGGCAGCCCTTTCTCACCTGGACAGTGACCTTGGCCTGGCAGATCATGGAGGGGCCAGGTGGGAACCCTGACCAGTGTGGTGGACAGAGGACAGAAGCTCCTATGGAGGGACAGGGCCCCAGGCTTCCTGAGCCTGGCTGCCTACTTCCTCCTAGAGTACTGGAGTCAACAGTCCAGGGCACTATAGTCTGGGACCTAGATTGCTGAGGGAGTACCATGGAGGGGCTGGCCCAGGGAGTGCCAGACACTTTCCTTCCTATAGATACGTTTTGTAGACACCAGTGCACCCCTAGACAAACCCAAGACTGCTCAGGTGGGAAGATTATGCAGCTTACTTTGACCATTCCTGATTCCTTTGCCCCCTCCCCCTCACCAGGTTTATGCTGCCTTCATTTGTTCAGCATGTGTTTATGGAACATGTACTCTGCCAGGCACAAGGTAGTGGTGGTGGCTATGGCTGGAGGGCCACCTTGCACCCATGTAACATAGCTTTGCTTCTACAGGAGGAGAAGAGGCTTCGCCTGGCTTATCTGCATGCAGAAGACTCTGAGCGAGAGAAATTCTCCCTCTTTTCTGCAGCTGTGCGGGAAAGTCACGAGAAGGAGCGCACAAGGGCTGAGAGAACCAAAAACTGGTCCCTCATTGGGTCAGTCCTGGGGGCCCTGATCGGTGTGGCTGGCTCCACCTATGTGAACCGCGTTCGGCTACAGGAGCTGAAGGCCTTGCTCCTGGAGGCACAGAAGGGGCCTGTGAGTCTCCAGGAGGCCATTCGAGAGCAGGCATCTAGCTACTCCCTCCAGCAGAAGGACCTCCACGACCTCATGGTGGACCTGAGGGGTCTGGTGCATGGTGGGCCAGGGCAGGGCTCTGAGTCATGGGCAGGTACTTCCCCCACCCGAGACAGAGACACAGATGTCCTTTCAGTTGCCTTGAAAGAGCAGCTCAGTCATTCCAGGCAGGTCCAGTCATGTCTAGAAGGTTTACGAGAACAACTTGATGGCCTAGAAAAGACTTTCAGCCAAATGGCTGGGGAGGTTCAGCTTGCAAAGGCTCCACACACAGGCCTGGTGGAGCCAGCAGACAGGGCTCTGCCCAGCTCCTTGCTGGAACAGGGGAGCATGATGTTGGCACTGTCAGATACGGAGCAGAGGCTAGAAGCCCATGTCAACAGGAACACCATCTACAGCACGCTGCTCACTTGTGTGACATTTGTGGCCACACTGCCTGTGCTCTACATGCTGTTCAGGGCCAGCTAACCCCTGGACCATCCTCCAGAGTGTGGATTTAGTTAGAGAATCCCAGCAATGAGCTGAGCCTTTGGGAGCGCACACAACCTCAGCCTGAAGGAGCACCATCTGTGTGGCTCACCAGCAGGCATACTTTGCTTTGTAGGCAGCGTTCATTTATATTAATTATCAAAACTTTGTGCTAATGTCTAATTAAAATGTCTTAAGTTTTTATTATTTATAACAATTTACTTCAGAGTGAGTTTTGACCCTTGGAAATTGAGATCCATGACTCGAAGATGGGGCCTTGAGTTAGCATCATCGCCCCTTTGGTTCCTCTTACATCTCTTGATCCTCTTTTCAGGACTGTTTTGAATGTACTCCTGAGGCCTGGATTTTCGTTTTGGATTTCCTGGCCTGCCCTCTGCTTGTCTGACCTTGCTGTGTCAGATGGCTTGAGGGTTTCAGTGAGTGGAACCTAGCCTGCTGTCTGCTTATTGGTGACCGTGGTTACTTTACCTCTTCTGGATCACTTTCTCTGTCACAGGGGAGAGGAGTGACCAGAGGAGAGTAGTGAAGAGAGATTGGGGGAATGGTTGATAAATGTTGCTGGGGACAGAGCTGGGCATGGTGGCGCACACCTATAGTCCCAGTACTCAGGAGGCTGAGGCAGGAGGATCACTTGAGCCCAGGAGTTCAAGTCTAGCCTGCTGCCCGCCCCTTCTAGCCCGTTTCCCATGAAGCCTCCTCCCTTCTTGGAGCCTGTGCTCAGACTTGGGCAGCAAGCATGGCCCAAGTGGCCCCCTGGGTTCTCTGAACCTCCGAGGACCCAGTCCTTCAGTTATTTGGTCACTCCATTGTTGGTGTGTAGTGGTTCCCCAGAATGGCATGGGATGGAATGACCTCTGCACTTTGTTCACACTCCTGATGGGGTAGGAGGTGCCGTATCTGTGTACAGGCTGTAGGACTCTTAAGTTCCAGATTCCTCTCTGGGGCAGGGTAGGTCCTGAAGGGTGTACACTTGAGTGAATGGATTCAGGGAAGGGAGAATTCCAGAATTCCTTTCCATGTGGAAAGGGCCCCCACAAGCTGCAGAAGCAGGAAAGCCAAGGTGGGTGAGTAATTGGGGGCAAACTGTCCTGGCTGAGGTGGTGATGGGTGTGGGGGTGTTGTGCGGCTTAAGGTAGAGAATGAGGTGGAAGACCTGGAGTTCCAGATTGGGCCTCTGAGGTCAGGGGCCAGAGGGGAAGGAACTGGGGATGGATGGCCATGCTGGTGCAGACAAGATGCTAAGAGCCTGGACTCAGGTGTTAGAAGTGGGGGTGGAGGAAAAAAGGCGACCTGAGAGGTTGGGGAGGGAGAATTTGAAAGGCACAGAGCCTGGAAGATGAGACTGACAGGAGACCCTTGGTAATGGGTGAGAGGCGGGAAGAGGGTGTCTGTGTTGTTAGCTCTTAGGGCAGTGGCCAGTGTGGATGACCTCAACTTCCTGGTTGAGGCTTCCCCTAGCCTGTGGAAGCCTTGGTGACTTTCAGGTGATGTGTATTTTGCCTCCCAGGAAGCTGTGCATTTTAATGGCCTTGAGCCAAAGTCCTCCAAAAGTCCCAGCCGGGCTGGGTCCCAGCTTCTGAGTGTTTTGAGCATGCCACAGTGTGAAGGGCCCTGTACAGGGCACAAACAGGCCTCAGGAGAGAACGCATCCGCCAGTTTCCTCTGCAGAAGGCCCAGGTGTTTGCCAGTGAGGGAGTCCAGACTTGCCAAGGCTTCTGAGCTTGGGGTGGGTCCAGGTACAGGCCTGGGAAGAAAGAAAGGAAATGAGCCCTTGCCTGTGCACCCTGCAGCTGAGGTGCCCCGCTGTAACAGCCCGACTAGGTGGTATCAATCCCACTTGCCGGTGAGCAAATAGGCTTGGAGGGGAGGGTGTCAGATTACATGGCTTAGTGGATTTCGCGTGCCCAGGTCCAAAGCCTGTGCTATCCTCAAACAGCCAGAGGTGGGGACTGGAAGGAGGGGCTGGCTGTTGGGGTCTCCTGGGAGAAGGGCCGTGGGCTGGGCCGGGTGCGAAGGGGAATTCAGGTAAAGTTGAGGAGGGGACGACCACGGGAGCCGGGTACAGGAAGGAAGAGGGAGCGCTGGGCGAGGCGGGCAGAGGGGGCGGTGGCTGGCAAACAGGCCCGGCAGGTGAGCAACGCGCGGGTGCGACCCGGCCCCGGCGGGGCGGGAAGAGGCCGGGGCGCTGTACCACCTGCACCTGGGGTGCGGGGCGCGAACCCCTGCCTCAGCCCCACCCATCCCGGGAGAGCTCCCAGTTCCGGTTGCAACGCTCCCGCAGGTGAGGCCCGGCGGGGGCGGGGCGGGGCCGCCCACGCTCGGGAGTCCGCTCCTCACCGTCCCCGGCGACCCACGTTGCCATGGCTACTGCCGCTGTGCAGCATGCCCCTCCCCCCACACGGGAGGGGTTGAGACCCCCGCCCTAGGCAAACCCGGAGCCCGCGGGGATGGAATGTGGGGTCCTGGGTCGCTCGGGGCCGCGTGCCCGGCTCTCCCGGCTGCTTCCGGCCTGGCCCGGGCGGCGGGCGGGGGGAGGGCGGCCCGGCGGGTGAGGGGGGGAAGGAGCGGAGCCGGGCCCGGCCGACGCGGCTTTGTCTCCTTTGTTCCCGGCGGTGGCAGCGCCGCGGCGGGAGGGGCGGGCAGCGGGCGCAGTTTTCCGCCCCTCGGTCTCCGGGTAACAGCTGCGGCTCCGCCAGACCCACCTCTGCGGGGGGAGGCCGCCGCGCGCAGATCCTGAGGCCGGAGCGGCCGGCACCCGCCTCGGCGCGCACATCCCGCGGGGCCCGGCCGGGTGGTGAGTGCAGGGCTCGGGCCGGGGCGGCGAGGACCCAGGTTCCCGAAGTGGGATTGCCTGAGGCCTTGATCCCGCCGGGCAGGGGCAGCCCGGGAGAGTGGTGGGCGGCTTCGGTTCTCAGAGTTGGGAACACACTTCTCCGTGCGAAGGGAAACTCTGGCGGCTCCGCCTGTAACGCGATTGGGAGACTGAGGAGGTGGAGCTGCTCCTCCGCGCCCCCTCCTCGCCACCGCCGCCGGGGACCAGCCAGCCCCTTCCCCGCCCTTCCAGGGCCACTGGTGGGGTCCTTGCCGCGCGGTCCGGGGGTAGGGAGGAGGGTCGAGGCTTCCCCTCAGTAGTAACAGCCCTTCCTGGTTGTGCCTGGTGGGACTGACAAAGGCAGACCTCTAGCCTCCTGACATCCAGAGAGGGACCCTCCTGTCCATACACCAACACATTTGGGGGGTGATTGACGAGCGCCTTGGGTCATCACAGGTGCTTGGTAAAAGCTGGATCTCCCCACTCCACCTTAACACGCAGAAAACAGGGCAGGCAGGGTACACTACTGCACTATCAATGAGTAACTCACCTCTTTGGTGGACCGTGGAGTCCAGCAGGAGGGGGGAGAGGGAAGGCCAGTTTCCCACTAACTACCAGACAAGGTAAATGTGAGTTATATGGCCCCTCTGCAGGTGTGAAAGGGCCAAGTTAGTGAGCCCCTTTGGTTGGTGAGGACAGTTCCAGGGGCATTCGGGAAGTGCTTACTCTTTGCGGACAGAAGTTAGTCAGTCTTGAGTCCTGCTGAAGAGGTTCAGAGAAAGGTGGGTCCAGAACAGACCGCCAGGCAGGCCTGGGCACAGGCAGAGTTAGGCTTTGGCTGTAAGCCTGGACAGGGCCTGAGATATGGGAAGTGTGCAAGATGGCTGTGGAAGTTGGGGATGTGAGGCCTGGCTCCAAATCAGCCTTTTCAGTCTGCTCTGGCCTGGGCCTTAATAAAAGTGAGGCCAACAGCTTGCCCTTTGAGAGGCCAAGTGGCTTGGAGAGGGGTGTGAGCCCCATATCTCCCCTAGTGGCTGGGTTTCCTTGGCTGTGAAATGAGGGTTCATTCATCATGCAGGGAGCACCTACTCTGTGCTAACATCTGTGTAAGTTGCTGGGGCCTCCAGATCATACTCTTTGCCTTCCAGTAGCTTCAAGTCCAGAGTGGGATGGTGAAGCAGGGAGAAAGGTGGTCTTGGTTGGTGCCACTAGTGCCAGGAACACACTGTATCACATTTATTGGTCAGAGCATTCCTGCCTCCCATTCTATAAATGGGAAACCTGAGGGAGAGCCCCAGGCAGAGCTGCCATATGGCCCTCGGTGGTGGCTGGATATGTCGATTCCATCCACCACACGGAGTGGCCTCCTCAGGAGCCTGGGAGGACAGGGGAGTCTCCCCAGGGAGATGGTGGTTGGGCGTAGGAGTTAATGGGATAGGGAAGGAATGGGCATTCCAGGCATTGTCAAGAGCCAGTGGCGGCTGGAGGAGTGAAACAGCCTGCAGTTCACGCTGGCAGGAACGAAGGGCATGTGTGGGGGAGCACTGGCATGGATCAGGTGGGAGAGGTGTGGATTGGAGGGGTTAGGCCTTTATCCCTCAGGCCCTGGGGTGTCCCAGAGTCTCTGGGCGGGGAGAGGAGATATACTCCAATTCTGCTTAAGGAAGATCCTGCAAGGTTTGGTGGGGGCTAGGTTGGAGGGGTTGAGGGCTGCTCTGTGGCCTGTGGCAGAAGTTAAGTGAAATGTGTGTGCCCCAAACAGAGGAGAACAGGTCACTGCCCTCCTTCCTTTCCTCCTCTCCCTACCCGGGGCATGCGGGGAAGGGGAAGAGGTGCCAGACCCTGTTTCAGGGGAGGACTGCGATTGAAGAAGCCAGACAGCTTTCCCTGTCAGGGGCTGGGTCAGCCTCTGACCTCGTATGTGGCCTGGCCAGGAGCTGTTCCGATCCCGCCCATCTCTTCCTTGAGGCCCCTCAGTCCAGTTGTGATTTCACATTTGGGGAGTGGTTTTGTTCCTGCCCCTTGAGAGCTGGAGATCCTTGGCAGGCAGTAGGCTTTGAGCAAATATTTGTAAGCAAATGAAGTAGTGATTGTTGGTCTAACTGTGGGACCCTATGCTCAAGGCACATCCCTAGCATGAGGTGGCAGGAGGAGTGAGCAGTATCCAAGTACAGGAGGTATCCTCTGCCTATCCTTAGGCGGGCCCTGTCTTCCCAGAGGAAGAAACTTTCTTTCCTTGTCCATTGGAAACTAGGTGGGGGGTTCCTGGGCAGCCTGGCCTTGCCACAGTCCTGAGATTCTGGCCGGGTTCGAGACTTTCTCTGCTGCCCCCTCCCCCCCGCCCCCTTGGGTGGCAAACAGAGGCGGCCTTGTTCCTGCTCCCATAGAGCTGCCCTGTTCTCTGCACACTAAAAATGGAAACCCCCAAGCTATTTTGGGAGCAGTGCCCAGCCAGGCTGTGGCCAGGGCCCCCCTGCTCCCACCGGGCTGTGGCCACAGTGTCCCTGTTCCCAATAGGCTGTGGGACCCTCCTTTGAGCCTTATGCCTATCTCTGCTCACTTTGGGGCAGCCTCAGGAGTACCCTGTTCAGGCCTCTGCCGGGATGAGCCGACCTGGGCTGAGAGAAGCCAGTGCCTGGGACATTCTGCCCAGACAGGCCGGCAGCTGGGTGGTGGGAGGGGCTGGGCAACGTGGCCTGGGCACAGGCAAGTAGGGGAAGTATCTCCCAGTCTGGATGCATGGTTTGTCCCAACACTTCACCAACTTTGGTTCTCCTGGCTGGGGACCACTGAGGGCTGGGGAAGGTAGTGTTGCCATGGTTTCTTGGTTCTGGGACTCAGGAGCCTCAGGTGGGGCACAGGGAGGGGTCTGTGAGGAGAGCAGGCACCCAAAGTCTGGGGAGGTCTTGCGGATGGATGTGGGGATGAGAGGCACAGCCAGGCATGGTGGCTTCCTGTAGGACACCACCCCCTGCCCCCTTATCCCACATCCTAGGCGCTGACACTGCTCTGGCTAGCAGGAGAGGAAATAGCAAGGAATGGCCTGGCTTCTACAGCTCTCTAGGTCTTAGGGCTTGAACTAGGAAGTGTATGTGTGTGTGGTGTCTGTGTCTGTGGTGGGTGGAGGTGACATACCTTTGCAAAGTGTGTTTCTGTGTGTGGGGGGAGGTTGTTTCTATATGGATGTGTCTTTATGCAGTATCTGAACATGGGGGTGTGCCTGTGTGGTGTGTCTGTGTTTCTGTGTGTGTGTCACTCTGCTGTGTATACAGATTGTGTCTGTATGCATCTATGTGTGTGTTTGAGTGCCTGTGTGTTTGTGTGTGGGTGTGTGCATGCAGGTGGGTGGTATGTGTGCAAGTGTGTATCTGCCAATGTGCTGGTGGTCATTTGAGCTAGGACAGCTCCTGGCCTGTGTGGAAGTAGTATACCTGTGTGTCTCAACAGGGTAGAATTTGGGCAGAAAGAGGGGCCTCAGACGGAGAGGGCCATGCTGGTGGCCTGTGGGCCCTGCTGGCCATGGGGCTTCTTCCCAGCTGACCTTTCCCAGGCCCCTCGGGTGCTTGGCTCTGCTGCCCTCCCCTTCCTCATGTGGGCTCCGAGGAGGCGTGCTCTGTGGAATGTGTTTGGTGGCTGAGGGCCAGGCTGGGCCCAGCTCCACCAGCAGGCTGGACAGTGGGGAGGGGGCACTTTTGTGCCGCCTCCCTGGTGGGGAGCTCAGGGCTCCCACATGCCCGCAGACCAGCCCCCAGCTTTACACTTTGCTTTCCCCTTGGCTAGGTGACTCCCACACAGGTCATGCTGTTGTCTCCTGATCCAGCCGGCCCTGCCAGGTGAGCCTGACCTCACACCTAGGCATCTAGGAGCATGTGACTCCCACCTATGCTGAGGACTCTCCGAGGTGCAGCCCAGCCTTTCAGGCCCCACCTCTCCCAGCTGGAACCTCCCTCTTCTCTCAGGCCCATTGGTTCTGTGGTTATTACCCTTCTGGATTCCTGGCCTGAAAGGCCCTGAACCTAGTTCTTGTCTTGCTCTAACATTCTGGTGGCCCATGAGACCCCACCCTCCCTTTTCCTTTTGCCTGGGAAGCTGACATCTCTGCAGAGGGCCCTCTCCCTTCCTGGAGTCTGGGCCCCTCCTTCCTATCACCTGCTCTCCAGCCCCTTCCAGGCCCTTGCCCTCTGATCCTTATGGTGGTACAGGGCAGTGCAGGGGGCAGGGGTAGAGTAGGATGCAGGTCTCCCAAGAGAATGGGTAGTGTTGAAGTTTCCAGGGAAAGTGTCTCCTATTTCTGACCCCTGGCTGGTGTGTGGTCCTGGGTCCTCCTCTGCTCACCCCTTGGGTTAGGAGGGGCATCTTGGCAATGTTACAGCCCTGTCCCTCACCAGTGGCTCCAGAATGCTATCGTGGCCATGTGAGCCCCACTCGACTTCTCTCCCTGCCAGGTGACCATGCCTGCCCTTGGCCCAGCTCTTCTCCAGGCACTCTGGGCCGGGTGGGTCCTCACCCTCCAGCCCCCTCCACCAGCTGCTTTTACTCCCAATGGCACGCATCTGCAGCACCTGGCGAGGGACCCCACCTCAGGCACCCTCTACCTAGGGGCCACCAACTTCCTGTTCCAGCTGAGCCCTGGGCTACAGCTGGAGGCCACAGTGTCTACTGGCCCTGTGCTAGACAGCAGGGACTGCCTGCCGCCAGTGATGCCTGATGAATGCCCCCAGGCTCAGCCAACCAACAACCTGAACCAGCTGCTCCTGGTGAGCCCGGGGGCCCTGGTGGTGTGCGGGAGTGTGCACCAGGGTGTCTGTGAGCAGCGGCGCCTGGGGCAGCTTGGGCAGCTACTGCTGCGACCAGAGCGGCCTGGGGATACCCAGTATGTGGCTGCAAATGACCCTGCGGTCAGCACGGTGGGGCTGGTAGCCCAGGGCTTGGCAGGGGAGCCCCTCCTGTTCGTGGGGCGAGGATATACCAGCAGAGGTGTGGGGGGTGGCATCCCACCCATCACGACCCGGGCCCTGCGGCCGCCGGACCCCCAAGCCGCCTTCTCCTATGAGGAGACAGCCAAGCTGGCAGTGGGCCGCCTCTCTGAGTACAGCCACCACTTCGTGAGTGCCTTTGCACGCGGGGCCAGTGCCTACTTCCTGTTCATGCGGCGGGACCTGCAGGCTCAGTCTAGAGCCTTCCGTGCCTATGTGTCTCGAGTGTGCCTCCGGGACCAGCACTACTATTCCTACGTGGAGTTGCCTCTGGCCTGCCAGAGTGGCCGCTATGGGCTGATCCAGGCTGCAGCTGTGGCCACGTCCAGGGAGGTGGCCCATGGGGAGGTGCTCTTTGCAGCCTTCTCCTCAGCTGCTCCCCCCACTGTGGGCCGGCCCCCATCAGCAGCTGCTGGGGCATCTGGAGCCTCTGCCCTCTGTGCCTTCCCTCTGAATGAGGTGGACCGGCTTGCTAATCGCACACGAGATGCCTGCTACACCCGGGAGGGCCGCGATGAGGACGGGACCGAGGTGGCTTACATTGAGTATGATGTCAATTCCGACTGTGCACAGCTGCCAGTGGTGAGTCCCAGCACTGCCCCAGCCTTTTCCCTTCTCTGAGGCCACTGCCCAGGGAGTCTGAAGGGAAGCTGGCTGTGGTGTGGGATGATCAGGTTGACAGATATTAAGTGCTTTCTTTTTGCCTGGGGCGATAGAAGGGACCTTAGCGCAGGTGTGGCATTGGGGTAGCAGAGAGCAGTACAGGGATTGGATTGGACCAGGGTGCTGAAGGGGTGGCACTTGTGTAGGTAGACTGAGAGGGTATTTGGGGTTCTCAGGCAGTGGCAAGGACCCAGAATGTGGGGATGAGACATGTTGTTTTAGGTTCTTGAGCAAGAGAGGAAGGTAAGGTTGAGACTTAATTGACTCTAGCCTCAGGATGGATAAAAAGAGAAGAAGCACACAGGGGACGGAGTCATTGCGAGGCGGGAGAGGGCCCAGGGGAGGGCCGGTCCACCTCATTAGAGGGAAGTAGACTCAGAGGTGAAGATGCCAGCTGTGGTCCAGGAGCAGGCTGACCACACAAACTGGAGGAAGGAGCTCCCAGGCCAGGGGTGGGAGAAGGTGGGGCCATAGGCAGAGGTAGGGACCAGAAGAGGGCCAAGGAGCCAATGGATAGTGTCCAAGCTGGCTGGAGATCAGTCCACTGTGGTAGGACTAAGGATGTGGCTGTGGAGATTGTGTCCAGGGTGGGGGTGTCAGGGAGGGTGGGCAGAGAGACTAGGGGTGGGATGAGGCTGTCCAGGGAGGATGGGGCAGGGGAGGTTACCCAGGGAGGGCCTTACTGATGCTTCTTGCTGCCTGCAGGACACCCTGGATGCTTATCCCTGCGGCTCAGACCACACACCCAGCCCCATGGCCAGCCGGGTCCCACTGGAAGCCACACCAGTTCTGGAGTGGCCAGGGGTTCAGCTAACAGCTGTAGCAGTCACCATGGAGGATGGACACACCATCGCTTTCCTGGGTGATAGTCAGGGGCAACTTCACAGGGTGAGCCCACAGGAAGTACCAGGCCTTGCCTCAGGGTCCGGAGGGGACAGGCTGCTGGGGACCAAGCCTGGATGGAGCTATCGCTGCAACTCCTGAGGTTGGGAGAGATGACCTGCACTCTTCTTCCTAGGACTGGGTAGTGTTTACCTGTGACTTCCCTCTAATTTCTGGGCTGGTTGGTATGACCTCAGGCTGCTCAGGAGGAAATTCTGTCTGTAAATTGCTTCAGTGGTGGGGGTTAGGAGAAGGCATTGGGCCTGTGGTTATGGACTTGGGTCCCAGACCCTGTGATCTCTGATCCCAGGTCTACTTGGGCCCAGGGAGCGATGGCCACCCATACTCCACACAGAGCATCCAGCAGGGGTCTGCAGTGAGCAGAGACCTCACCTTTGATGGGACCTTCGAGCACCTGTATGTCATGACCCAGAGCACAGTGAGTGCCAAGCATGAGCCAGGGCATGGCTGCTGGGAGGGGCCCCCAGGCAGGGGCATGGACCCATTTGTGGGTGAGCCACTGGTGTTTGGATTGCTGGCCTCAGATCCTCTTTGCTGTCACAGCTTCTGAAGGTTCCTGTGGCCTCCTGTGCTCAGCACCTGGACTGTGTGTCTTGCCTTGCTCACAGGGACCCGTACTGTGGGTGGTGTGTGCTCCTTGGCAGGTTGGTGCTCCACTGAACCTTGACTCCTCCCAACCCCATCCTCATGCCCTCAGTGTTCCTGCATAATTGTCCTATCCAGGATTCCTGATCTCAGCCCCTGATCCCCAGATCCTACAATCTCCCACCCCCATCTTCCACCCTGGACATCAGTGGCCTGCCAGGGCAGACAGAGGAACCTGGTGCCATGACCCACTCTAGGGCCCTGCCCAGGTCCTCAGAATTGTAGGTGTCCCTGTCCTATGAACTCTCAGTGGCCCCGTGAAGGTCACAGATAGATGCTGGTCATTCTTGCTCAGGTGCAGTCGCCACTCGGAGTGCTCGAGGGGCCAGGGCCCAGAGCAGTGGCTGTGGAGCTTCCAGCCTGAGCTGGGCTGTCTTCGAGTGGCAGCTATGAGTCCTGCCAACATCAGCCGAGAAGAGAGGAGGGAGGTGAATGACCAGATAGGTGGGCCCCTGGTGGGGAGGGCTCTAGAGATCAAAGTTGTCAAGTACACCACACACCACATGGCCTTGCATAAGTCACTTCTTCTGGAACCTCAGTTTCTTCATCTGTTACTAACTCGGGCCAGAGGGTATTTGTGAAGACTTGGGGGCTGGTGGCTGCTGGTGCCTGCCCACATTGGTGCCCCACAAATGTGAGTCCTAGCATGCTGTCCAATGACCTTGACAGTGTGTTCTGGGCTTTCTTGGTAGGTTTTCTTATCGGTGCCAGACCTGCCACCCCTGTGGCCAGGGGAGTCATACTCCTGCCACTTTGGGGAATATCAGAGCCCTGCCCTGCTGACTGGTTCTGGTGTGATGTGCCCCTCCCCGGACCCTAGTGAAGCCCCAGTGCTGCAGAGAGGAGCCGGTGGGTGAGAGAAGGCGTCAGCCCTGGGGCTTGGGAGCCCCACCCTCTCCCAGGGATGTGGTTGGGGCGACGTGTGAATCCAGGCAAGGAGCCCTGAATCGATGTCTTTCTCCGAGGCCTCTCACTGGTCCCCACCTGCCCGAAGTTTCCATTCTGTGCCTGGGTTCTCCTTCCCATTTGGCGTCTCAGGATGCGAGTTCTGGGTCTGAGCACACTTCCCCATTGCTCAGCCCCGGCCCTCTCTCCCCATTTACAGACCATGTCTCTGTGACTGTGGAGCTCAGGTTTGGCACCGTTGTGATCGCCCAAGCTTCCCTCTCTTTCTATGACTGTGTGGCAGTCACTGAGCTCCGCCCGTCTGCACAGTGAGTTCCTCACCCTGTCCCTTAGCCCTGGGCTGCCCCATGGTGAGCTGTGCCCCATGGCTGTGCTCTGTGCAGGTGCCAGGCCTGTGTGAGCAGCCGCTGGGGGTGTAACTGGTGTGTCTGGCAGCACCTGTGCACGCACAAGGCCTCGTGTGATGCTGGGCCGATGGTGGTGAGCCAACGGGTGAGCATACCTCTGGGCTGGGCCACACGGGGGGTTTGGGGTTCCCAGTGTGAGGGTTTTCCTGATGGCCGTGGGTCTGTGTGTAACAGACTTGCTGGAGAATGGCTGCTGATACGTCCTGCCTGTTTCAGGAGAGGACTTTTGTAGCTGAGAGGCAGGGGAGGTGTGGCCTTCTTGCGCTTCCTCAGCACAGACACCCCAGAGCCTGCCCCTCCTTCTCCTTTTGAGAATTAATGGGCTGTTTTTGTTTCTCTTTTCCTTGGCCTCTTTTCCTCTTAACATACCCTTTGCCTGCCTGCCTCCTGCTCCTGCACCTGCCTGCTGAGTGGCCCTTCCCATCTTTCCCTGCCTCCCCCCTCAGAGCCCGCTTCTTTCCCTAGCCCCTCCTGCAAGAGATGCACCCACCCCCTTCCCACCCAGAGCCCCCAAAGTCCCAGTCACCCCTGCTCCTGACACCCTTCCTGTGGTACCTGGGGCTCCCTCCATAGCCATAACCTCGGACTTCCCATCTGGGGCCAGGCCTTCCCCTCTCAGCCCCTGGGGGCCATGGGCAGGTCCCGGCCCCATGCCTTCCCCCGCCTCCACAGAGTCACCTCTCCATGAGAAGCCCTCCCCTCCCAGCTCCCCCAGCAGACCTGGAACCACTGTCCCTGCTCCTGCTGACTTCGGACCCACGGCCACATCTGAGGACCTCTCAGCCGCTCCCCCATCACCCTCAGATGCAGCAGCAGTGCCCCCTGTAGACCCTGGCCCTGAGGCCTTTCCCTCTGTGGTACCCCTGGACCAGCCCCCTGGCACTGCTCCTGCTACCCCTTTCCCAGGGGCCACGGGCTCCACAAAGCCCGCTCTGGACTGGCTCATAAGAGAAGGCGGCGAGCTGCCCGAGGCGGACGAGTGGACGGGGGGTGACGCGCCCACCTTCTCCACTTCCACCCTCCTCTCAGGTGATGGAGACTCAGCAGAGCACGAGGGCCCTCCCGCCCCCCTCATCCTCCTGTCCAGCCTCGACTACCAGTATGACACCCCCGGGCTCTGGGAGCTGGTGAGGCCCAGCCCAGGAAGGAGGCCTCGGGAGGGGATGTGGGAAGACGCAGCCCCCTGCCTGCCTTGCGATTCTGCACTGGGGGGCTGGAGGGGCAGGGTAGGGGCTGCAGCCCTGCACCAGCCTTGCTCCTGGAATCTGGCAAGGCAAAGGGCTGAGGTGGGCAGGGTGGGCTCCATAGGCTGCCTTGCTCTTGGTGCGTGCAGGAAGAGGTGAACTGGGGGGCAAACTCCTGCCCTTGTGTGGAGAGTGTTCAGGGTTCCACGCTGATGCCCGTCCACGTGGAGCGGGAAGTCCGGCTGCTAGGCAGGAATCTGCACCTTTTCCAGGTGGGTGTGTCCCTCCTGCCGCTGTCCTTGCAGCCTTCTTGGCTACTGACAAACTACACACAAACCGTGGGGCCAGGAAGAGAGCATGGCCCCAGGGCTCAACCCCAACCCAGAGGATGTGCTGGGGGACCTGCGGGACTCTCTGGACCCAACTCCTAAAGCTGCCCCAACAGCTCCTCTGCCCCCAGGATGGCCCAGGAGACAATGAGTGTGTGATGGAGCTGGAAGGCCTCGAGGTGGTGGTTGGGGCCCAGGTTGAGTGTGAGCCGCCTCCAGATACCCAGTGCCACGTCATATGCCAGCGGCATCAGGTGCAGACCATGAGTACCTGGGTGGGCAAGGGTGCCCTGGCCACAGGCTGGCTACCAACCTTAGTTGGGTGTACCACACTTGTCCAGGCGAGTCTCGGTATCCCATCTCTGACCTCTGACTATGTGCCCCATGGGGTCCCTGTGTCCTAGCTCTGACATCTAACTTGAGAGCCCATGGGGTCCCTATACTCCGGTTCTGCCTTTAACCTCCAACCTTGTGGTTCCGGGGGGGTCCCTGCACTCCAACTCTGACTTCTGACCCTGTGTTCCTGTAACTAGTCATTTTGGTCCTTTCTCTGACCACTACCTCCCCAGGCCTGATGCTTCCCCCTACCTAGGCTCTGAACCCACTCTTATTTCTCCAGCTTAGCTATGGGGCTCTGCAGCCAGAGCTCCGTGTAGGGCTGTTTCTGCGTCGGGCCGGCCGTCTGCGTGTGGACAGTGCTGAGGGGCTGCATGGTGAGCTAACTGGGGGCTGTTGGACCTGGCTGGTGGTATAGGGCTGCCTCTCCAGGCCTGCCTCTCACATTTGTCTCTGCCACCCCCAGTCGTACTGTATGACTGTTCTGTGGGACACGGGGACTGCAGCCGCTGTCAAACCGCCATGCCCCAGTATGGCTGTGTGTGGTGTGAGGAGGAGCATCCACGTTGCGTGGCCCGGGAGGCCTGTGTCGAGGCTGAGGCTGTGGCCACCCAGTGCCCTGCGCCCCTCATCCACTCGGTGTGTCTAAAAGCTGGCATGTCTCTTCTTCACTGTTGCCCTTGGAGGGGAGAATGCAGGGGGCCCAAAGGTAGGAGACTGGAGCTACCTCTCCAGGTGGGTGGAGGTGAGCAGTCCTTGTCCTGGAACAGGTGGAGCCACTGACTGGACCTATAGACGGAGGCACTCGCGTCACCATCAGGGGTTCCAACCTGGGCCAACATGTACAGGATGTGCTGAACACAGTCAAGGTGGCTGGAGTGTCCTGTGCTGTGGACGCTCAGGAATATGAGGTCTCCAGCAGGTGAGCTGGACCCATCAGGAGCAGGGCACACCTCACGGGACTCCATGGTTGGCTTTCCTGCCCAGGGCATCCCACCCACCACTTGTCTGCTCTGCCTTCTCCTTTCCTTCATTCTGGTCACAATGCCTCAGTGCTGGGGTTGCCGTTAGGCCCCGGAGTACCCACCTTAGCTTCCTGCTCGGACCTGCAGGTTCCTGGCGTGGGCTGCTGAGGGATCATTCCTGGGCCTGTCTGGGGCAGGGTCACTGCCCAGAGCTGACTGGTTGCTCTGCTTCCTGGCTCCGCTTAGGTGTTCTTACCTAGCTTTCTGAGTGACCGTGGATATAGTCATGGCAGCAGGGGCCTCAGATCCCAGACAGCTGTGTTCAGGGGCTGTCCTTCTCACCAGCTGACCCTTCTTCCCCCAGCACTGCCCTAAGCCACTGGGCTTCTCAGGAGGGTAGACTTGTGGCACACTTGCAGAGGGCCAGGCCCCTCTGTCCCAGTCTCTGGGGATCCCTTTTGCCTTCCTGGTGCTCATGGCTCACTGAGATTCTGGGTCATGGTAACCTGGCCAGCAGTTGCAGGGTCCCAAATGTGCATGAACGGGACGTTCCCAAGGAGTTATCAAGCAGTAGAGCTCAATCCTGGCTGAATGTCAGGGTAACCCACAGAACCTGTCTAAAATCAGCATGGAGCAGATCCTTACTCCGCCCTCAGAGATCTGGGTTCAGGGGGCTTGTGGTGGGCCCTGCAGTCTGTATTTGAAGGAAGGAACCACTTTGCTAGAGCACAGTTTTCCTTAAATGTCTTATAACTGAGAACTAAAGTGACTAGACAGTTAATGATTCCATAACCATAAGACTACAGTAATTTATGATGTGATTTATGAAGAGATTAAAATATATTCTGGTTGGAGCCTCCCCTGGATAGTTCACGCATCGCTTGTTCTGTTTTCCTGGAGTGTTTACAGTGACTGTGACAATGTCACAGGGTCAAGACACTGTAGGCTTAACATTCTGGAAACTAATTTGCCTGAGCTTCTGTTTTCTGGCTAAGAATCAGCATTTTCTTAGACTGTTCACTGTCCCTTCACGTCTATTCCCTAGATCTGACTGGAGGCTTTCAGGGACTTTTTTCATGAAAAAAAATCAAGTTTCTACCACTTTGAGAGTGGGCACTGTGCACGTGGTCCTGGTGGAGGACCCGGGTGGCTGGCTGGGCCACTCACTGGCTCAGCAGCTCACCCCCACAGCCAGCCTTACAGGGCTCCTTTGTAAATTTATGCCACTACACAGATAAATTCTTCCTTGTTGGGGGCCTCTGGGGTTGAACTTGTATTATTGAAACCACAAATATTCTCAGATGCCAAGGCCTTCTGGTGTGCCATAAGGAATTTCCTCCAAAGTGCGGGAGGGTCTCTATCCATCCTGTGGAGGATGGGAAGGGGAAGACCACCTGTCAGTGGGGCAGGGAGAGGAGCCCCCAGGTCTATTTGAGGGGGCCCTTGGTGCAACCTGGCACCCCTTAGCCTGCCCTGTGCCCACAGCCTCGTGTGCGTTACCGGGGCCAGCGGGGAGGAGGTGGCTGGCGCTGTGGCAGTGGAGGTGCTGGGAAGAGGACGCGGCGTCTCAGAGCACGACTTTGCCTATCAGGTGCCTGACTGCTGAGCCACCCCCAGCTGCCAGTGGGCCACCCTCTCTGGTGGCTCCTCTCAGCCCATCTGTTTTCGCCTTCGTAGGCTCCCTATCCCAGGCCATCTTGTCTATCTGAGCTCTCTTTCTGGGATTCTCCTGGCCTGATGCTTGTCTGTCTCTCTTTGTTCTTTTCCTGTAGGACCCGAAGGTGCACTCCATCTTCCCGGCCCGTGGCCCTAGAGCTGGGGGCACCCACCTCACCCTGCGTGGTTCCAAGCTCCTGACTGGGCAGCTGGCGGACATCCGAGTGGTGGTCGGAGACCAGCCTTGTCACTTGTAAGGGCCGCTTCCTCATCCTGCAAAAATCCATGCACTGCAGGGAGAAGACAGGGGCTGGGGTGCTGGGAAGAGCAGAGAGTGGGGGAGGGCCGAGTCTGCTCCTTCAGAAAGTGGCCAGACCCTCACTAAGCTGGGCTGTTGTGGGAGTGTGTCTCCAGGGCCACCTATTGGAGACTGCAGTCAGCACCCAAGGGAAGTGAGCTGAGGTTTGAGTGTGTGCTGGTTTCCTTTGCCTTTGCCCCTGTGGCCCAGCCTGGCCTGCCGTCCACTCCCACCTCCCCTCCCCAGGCTGCCGGAGCAGCGGTCAGAGCAGCTGCAGTGTGAGACGAGCCCACACCCCGTGCCTGCCATGTTCCCTGTGGCTGTGTGGTTTGGGGCCACTGAGCGGAGGCTTCAGCACGGCCAGTTCAAGTACACATCAGACCCCAACGTCACTTCTGCTGGCCCTACCAAGAGCTTCCTCAGGTGCTGAGCCAAGGGCGTGGCTGCATGGCATGTGGCAGGGAGATCTTTGCAGCTGCACTGTGTTGGGGGTTTGCAGGGCTTTACGTGGAGGCTATGAATCCCACGCTGCTGGTAGGGACAAGGGGTCATGTGGTTTGGGGCTGGGCTGAGCTAACCTAGCTGGGACTGGGCTGTGCTTTAGATCCTGGATCACCTAAGCTGTGAGTGGCCCATGGGCTGTGTTTCAGTGGAGGACGTGAGATATGGGTCCGTGGCCAGAATCTGGATGTGGTGCAGACGCCAAGAATCCGAGTGACCGTGGCCCTAGGAGTGCAGCAGCCCAGCCCGGGGCTTGGACGGAGGCGCCGAGGGGTCCCGGAGACAGCATGCTCCCCTGGAGCCCCCTGTGTCAGTCATCACATAGAACATCCCTGGGCATTCCCTGCCTGCACTGGGCTAGCCATCACTCTCCCCTTTCCCCCCAGCACACCCCACGGACAGCCATGGGTGGCTGGTACCAAAGGAGGCCCTTCCCACACAGCCCCTCGGTTAACCCTCCTTTGTTTTCCATCACCCAGTTTGAGGAGCCATGCCACGTGAACTCTTCCCAGCTCATCCTGTGCCGCACACCTGCCCTCCCGGGCCCGCTCGAGGACCCCTGGGTCCGGGTGGAATTTATCCTTGACAACCTGGTCTTCGACTTTGCAACACTCAACCCCACACCCTTCTCCTATGAGGCTGACCCCACCCTTCAGCCCCTCAACCCTGAGGACCCCACCATGCCATTCCGGCACAAGCCTGGAAGTGTGTTCTCTGTGGAGGTACTGCTCCTACTTGGACATGGCAGGGTCTAAGACCCTTCTCTTTGCTGGACAGTATTGCTGTGTGTGGTGGAGAGGTCAGGACAGCAGAGCAGGGGCCAGTGGATTGGCACAGCTCCTCATCCTCACTGTGGCGAAGGCAGAGGGGCTGGTGGGGGAGTGCGTAGTTTAGCACCTGGCAGAGGTTTGGCGTTGACCACTTAGCTGGTGGTCTGGGTCTTGACACACTCCATGGCAGGTTCCTGAATGACGATGTGTAAATGGGTGGCGTGGTGCGCAGTAATTAACGGGGCTAATCCTCAGTTGGCAACCTGGTTCACGTGGACACAAACCAGGCACATGTTCTGGACATATGCAGCAAGCAGTAGGTGGGCATTCAGGCCATAGGTCAATCCACCATCACCCACCTGGTGGGCCATCAGATGGAGTAGGGGCTCTGGTTTTGCAAGTTGACTGGGCAGGATTTGGGGATAGCTTTATGTTCTTTATATTTTTGGCTCTGGAGAAGAAAGATAGGGAAGGGTCGTGGGGAAGAGGTGGAAGGATGCTATGTGACTGTCGGCCCCAGGTGCAGAGGAAGAAATGCTAAGCTCTAGGGGGTGTTTCAGGACCATCCTTACCACATTTGGGTGGATAGGACCTGAGCGAAGGGTTCTGAGTGACTGATCAGTGATCCTGTGTTCCAGGGGGAGAACCTGGACCTTGCAATGTCCAAGGAGGAGGTGGTGGCCATGATAGGGGATGGCCCCTGTGTGGTGAAGACGCTGACCCGGCACCACCTGTACTGCGAGCCCCCTGTGGAGCAGCCCCTCCCACGGCACCATGCCCTCCGAGAGGCACCTGATGCTTTGCCTGAGTTCACAGTCAGTGGGCAGGCCCGGGACCGGGCTGGGCTGGGTACCAGGCACGTGCTAAACCCTGGCTCACAAGTGGCTTCCCACACAGGTACAGATGGGGAACCTGTGCTTCTCCCTGGGTCACGTGCAGTATGATGGCGAGGGCCCCGTGGCTTTTCCTGTGGCAGCCCAGGTGGGCTTGGGGGTGGGCACCTCTCTTCTGGCTCTGGGTGTCATCATCATTGTCCTCATGTACAGGTGGGTGCAGCCAGATGTGGCTGGGCTGGGGTAGGTCGTGGGATCTGGCTGGGCTGGGAAGGGACAGACTGGACCAGGGGTCAACAAACACTTTCTGTGAAGGGCCAGGGAGTAAATATTTTAGGCTTTGCAGGCCAAGTAGTCTCTGTTGCAGCTACTCAGTTCTGCCATTGTGGCACAAAAGCAGCATGGGCAGTATGTAAACACGAGTGTGGCTGGGTTCTAACCAGTCTCTGTTTATAAAGATAGGTTGTGGGGTGGATTTGGCCTGGTCGTAGTTTGCTGATCCCTGGCCTGAGCTGTGCTGGACTGAACAGAGCATGGGTGGGTGTGACTTGCTTGGGAGCAGGCAGGCTGAATTGCTCTGGGCTAGGCCTTGGCATGGCCTGGCATGGACAGTCAGACCATGTGGACAAGGCCAGGGTGTGCCTGGGGCTGGGTCAGGCAGGCCTGGGCCAGTGGGACCCAGCAAGGGCTTTGGCCTCATGCTGCTTCCCCTCCTGACCTTGGAGCTGAGCAGGAGGAAGAGCAAGCAGGCCCTGAGGGACTATAAGAAGGTCCAGATTCAGCTGGAGAATCTGGAGAGCAGTGTGCGGGACCGCTGCAAGAAGGAGTTCACGGGTGAGGCCACAAGAACACCCTCTAGGGCTCTGCCCGATCCCACTCCCATCAGACGGGGTTGGCACCCAAACCTGGCCTCTTCTGCTCAACAGACCTCATGACCGAGATGACTGATCTCACCAGTGACCTTCTGGGCAGTGGAATCCCCTTCCTTGACTACAAGGTGTATGCTGAGAGGGTCTTTTTCCCTGGGCACCAGGAGTCGCCCTTGCACCGGGACCTGGGTGTGCCGGAGAGCAGAAGGCCCACCGTGGAGCAAGGGCTGGGGCAGCTGTCCAACCTGCTCAACAGCAAGCTCTTCCTCACCAAGGTGCCTGGACCCTCCTTACCTGGTCTTGCCCATGACTGTGCTCTCCTGGCCATGGCCTCTGAGTCTGTCCCTCCCTCCCCACCCCTTCCCCTCTGCCTGGCTCCAGTTCATCCACACACTGGAGAGTCAGCGCACCTTCTCGGCTCGGGACCGTGCCTATGTAGCATCTCTGCTCACTGTGGCACTGCACGGGAAGCTTGAGTACTTCACCGACATTCTCCGCACCCTGCTCAGTGACCTGGTGGCCCAGTACGTGGCCAAGAACCCCAAGCTGATGCTGCGAAGGTCTGTGGCTGTCTGGGCTGGGCGGGCCACAGACAGCTGGAGCTAGCGCAGGGCCTTGGGTCTGAGGGTCTGTGGAATAGAGAGCCCCACGGCCCCACCTGCTGACTCTGCCTCCCCATTCCTGTCGTCTCAGGACAGAGACTGTGGTGGAGAAGCTGCTCACCAACTGGATGTCCATCTGCCTCTACACCTTCGTGAGGGTGAGGGAGGCAGAGGTGCATGGGGCTCCTGTCCAGGCAGGGTCAGGACCTCTAAACCACCAAGCCTCCGGCCCCCATGCAGCTTGCGCACTCATGCTGGAGCAGAGACTCCTGCTCACTTTTCTTCAGTTACCTTAAGCCTGTGTCCTGTCCCCTTCCCCATGATGTGTCATGTCCCATATACCTCTGCCACCTGTCTGGGGGCCCTAACTACCTGCACTTCCCCAGGACTCAGTAGGGGAGCCTCTGTACATGCTTTTCCGAGGGATTAAGCATCAAGTGGACAAGGGACCAGTGGACAGTGTGACGGGCAAAGCCAAATACACCCTGAATGACAACCGCTTGCTGAGAGAGGACGTGGAGTACCGTCCCCTGGTGAGGGTGTGCGTGTGTGCGGTCTGCAGTATCAGTGTCCAGTGAGGGCCAGGGCAGGAGGGATTGTAGGGGTGTGGAATTGGGGCACCAGTATCTGGTGTCAGCACGTGGACAGAGAGCCCGCCTGATCTCTGGCTGGGTGCTGGAGGGAGAGCTTCAGACTGGCTCAGCAGGATAGAGGTTTGGGCCAGACCTTTTGGATAGGGCCTGGATGTGCCCCCAGGCTTGGGATGGGACCAGGGTAGGCGGGACCAGGGTAGGCACAACCAGGGTCTGGGAGGAGCTGTGCCAGGGCTTGACCCCGTCAGTCTGACCACTCCACCAGGGATGCAGCCTTGCCCACAAAGCCAGAACCACTCTGGCAAACAGGGCGAACACTTTTCAGGGTTTGCTTCTCCCTGGTTCCGTATGAGGGTTCCTTTGGGGAAATCTCACTCAGGCTCCTGCTCCTGCCAGGATGGGTGGGGATACTGGCTACTGCAGGCTTGCCTCAGGCACTTCGCCCTGGCCAGCTCAGTTGGGCACCGGGGATCCGAGTGAAGAGAGATTGGGGCTCACCTGTTCTGCCATCTTCCTCAGAGATGTTTACAAGTGCATCATGCTGGGTGCTGGGGTCACAAGGCAGGAAGCTGCTGTTCCCAGGGAAGGCAGGCAGGTGAAGAGACAAGAATTAGGGACTGCTTGGTGCTTGGGGGTCAGAGGCAGTGGCTGCCTCATGGGTTGTCCCTGCTCTTGGTCTTGGTCATCCTGAATGTAAACGAACCCTGACGGCTCCCACATGTCCTACGTAGACTTTGAATGCGCTGTTGGCTGTGGGGCCTGGGGCAGGAGAGGCCCAGGGTGTGCCCGTGAAGGTCCTGGACTGTGACACCATCTCCCAAGCCAAGGAGAAGATGTTGGACCAGCTTTATAAAGGACTGCCTCTTGCCCAGCGGCCAGACTCTCGCACCCTGGATGTTGGTGAGGACATGGAGAGCCCTTGGGGACCTGAGCCAGTGTTGGGCCTGGGCTGCTCTGGGACCAGCTCTGCAGGGACAGCTTATCACTTAGGGTGGGTAGGATGTTGGGAGTCACCCCCTGGTGAGGGGTCCCTGCTGCTGGTCTTTGGAGAGGTTGAGTAGGGCTGCCCCCGATGGAGGGGCCAGTGTCCCTGTGGAGGAAGACATGGGCTCCACTGTGGGAAGGGTATCTTGGAAGCCCGGGACCAAGTCCTACCTTACCCTTGCAGAGTGGCGGTCTGGGGTGGCTGGACACCTCATCCTGTCTGACGAGGATGTCACTTCTGAGGTCCAGGGTCTGTGGAGGCGCCTGAACACCTTGCAGCATTACAAGGTAGGAGGGGTCAAGGTTGGAGGAGAGGTGTGGGTTGGGGAGGGGGCTGGTGGAGGGATCACCACCTGTGGTCAGCAGGTCCCAGATGGAGCAACTGTGGCCCTCGTCCCCTGCCTCACCAAGCACATTCTCCGGGAAAACCAGGATTATGTCCCTGGAGAGCGTGAGTACTGCCTCCCACCACAGTCCTCTGCCCTTGCTGTGCCCAGTCCTGGGTATTGGGGAAAGGCCTCTGGGCCCCAGGGAGGCTTATTTGTATTGCCCTTCTGCCCAGAGAAGCCTCAACCAGCTGCCCCCACTCCGGGGAAAGTTGGCAGGACCCAGGGGCCTGGGGAGGTGGCACCTGGTGAGGGGTAACAGTGTGGGCTCTTGGCACAGGGACCCCAATGCTGGAGGATGTAGATGAGGGGGGCATCCGGCCCTGGCATCTGGTGAAGCCAAGTGAGGAGCCAGAGCCGCCCAGGCCTCGGAGGGGCAGCCTTCGGGGCGGGGAGCGTGAGCGAGCCAAAGCCATCCCCGAGATCTACCTGACACGCCTGCTGTCCATGAAGGTGGGACAGCAAGGGCTGGGCAGGGCCGGGGGCAGGGATAGGACAGGCAGTGGGGTCTGGCTGTGGGGAGAATAGCCACTCGTGGGATTTGGGGTGGTGTGGGGCTCGCAAGAATAGTGCCAGGAGGTATCTGAGACTGGGCTGGCGCTGAGGTCCCCTTGCTGCCCCCCCCACCTTCCCATAGGGCACCCTGCAGAAGTTTGTGGATGACCTGTTCCAGGTGATTCTCAGCACCAGCCGCCCCGTGCCACTCGCTGTTAAATACTTCTTTGACCTGCTAGACGAGCAGGCCCAGCAGCACGGCATCTCCGACCAGGACACCATCCACATCTGGAAGACCAACAGGTGGGGTGGGGCCGCTGGGCCCGAGGTGTGTAGGGGTCCTTCCTGCCTCCCCAGCACGCTCATCAGCCATGTCTGCCCCCACTGCAGCTTGCCGCTGAGGTTCTGGATCAATATAATCAAAAACCCACAGTTTGTGTTCGACGTGCAGACATCTGATAACATGGACGCGGTGCTCCTTGTCATCGCACAGACCTTCATGGATGCCTGCACCCTGGCTGACCACAAGCTGGGCCGGGTGAGCGGGTTGGGGAGGGCCTGGGGGGGATGAGTGGGGACGGGATGGTGTGGGCTGGAGGCGGACAGTCCTGTGCATACCCAAATTCCAGGCTTTCCTGAGAATTTCAAGGAAGAGGGTTTGGGGAGATCTCTGACATCCCCAGGCCAGGCCTTGTCCCGGGGGCTCCCTATAAGGTGTCAATGCCTCAGTCTTAAAGAATGAGCAAGGGTAGGGGGCATCGTGCACCAATTCACAGGGTTAAGACGTGGGCAGCAAGTGCAGCCTAGTGTGGCTAGGGCATAGAAGCTGGCAGGCTGTGGCAGTAGGCCAGGGCCACTGGTCAGGGCTCACTCTGAGGGCAACAGTGGGCCCCAGAAGGCCTGGGAGTAGGGGAGTGGTGTGGTCAGACTGAGAGATCCGTGGAGCATCCTAGCAATTGTGCAATGGGTGGACTGGAGCATGGGGGTCCAGAAAGGACAAGCTAGCGGCCAGATTCAAGCTGGGCAAGAGGGCGCCGGGCAGGCAGAAGCCGTAGTTTGGATGTAGGGGGATAAGGAAGAAGAGGGGGGTCACATATGATCCCTGGGCCTCTGGCTGTGGAGAGCTCAGACTTGGAGGAGGTGAGCCTGATGTGTGTGGGGCCACCAGGTGGTTTCCAGGGTGGAGATGTGGACTCTCCAGTCCCAGAACAGCTCCGGGCTGCCCGGTGGATTTGGTTCCTTAGAGTGGTGGAGGTGTCTGCCTGCCAGTGCGGTAGTGCAGGGCATCCAGGGGAGTGCCAGGATTTGAGGGGTGTGCTGAAGAGGGGAGCCAGAGGCACGGAAGAGAAGTGGTCTGAGCTGTGTGGTAGCACAACGATCGGGAATGTATTGTCACGGTAGTCAAAGCCGAGAGTCCCATGACACACAGGGTCCCCAGCGTGTCGGGCAGGGCCCGTGTGTGGCTTTGCAGTTCCGTTAGTGGGCTCTGCTTCGCCCGGGCCCTTGGGAACAGGTGTCTTTTGACCTTCAGAGAGGCATCTCTAGGCCGCTCTGAAGAAACAAAATGGAACGTTCCACCCTGCAGTGTTTGCGCACGCTCTCATCATTCTGCCTGCATTGAGCTGAGCATCACAGGGCCACACCAGGACCCACGGGGCCGCCTCTGGGGCTGGATGCTATGTTATGGCTGAGTTTTTTGCCAGACCTTTCCAGTGCCTCCCCTTCCTAGCAGAACAGCAAATGGTTCCTGGACGGCTCAGGGATAGTTCAAACCAGGAATGCCAAGGTCCCTCCATGGAGCGCTGATGGGAAGGCACGCATCCTGACCCTGCTCATGTGGGGCAGCACCGCCTCACAGTCTTTCCCACCTTCCCAGCAGCTTGAGGATGAGGCAGAGGTCCTGAGAATAGAGGTGTGCTGCCCAGAGCCCACGGCTGCTGGGAATTGTGTCTGAGTGTGTTAAGTGACTTGAGAGACCTGCTTCAAATCCCAGCTCAGCCAACTCAGGAGTGAGGTGGTCTGTGGCAATTTACATAATTTTCTAGGTCCCAATTTGCTGATTTTTAAAATGATTACATGGGGAATAGACACCGTGCTTCCCGCCCTACGTGCTGGCCCCCTGCTAGATCCAGACGGAGACATGTGGAGCTGAGAAATGACCTCAGGGTTATCTGGGGAGGAGCTCAGTCGACATCAGAGACTGGATGTTGGTGGAGGGCAGGGAGTGGAGGAGGCTCCTGCAGAAGGAAGTGGCCTAGGGTGACCAACTGGCCTGGTTTGCAGGACTGAGGGGCTTCCTGGGATGTTGGACTTCTAGTTTTAAAACTGAAGCAGCACTGGGAAACCCAGGGTGGTCGGTCACCTTAACAGGGGCACTCATCCTTCCTTCTTCTTTCACTGCCCTCCTACTGGTACCCAGGACTCCCCCATCAACAAACTTCTGTATGCTCGGGATATTCCCCGTTACAAACGGATGGTGGAAAGGTACTGGAGGGGCATGGGTGGGTGGAGATTGGGGGTACATGCAGCTGAGGCCAGGGGTGGGCCTGGGGTGGGGATAGGGGGAGTGGGTTTGTTTGCCCAGCAGCTGCCGCACTCTGGCTCTCTGGCAGGTACTATGCAGACATCAGACAGACCGTCCCAGCTAGTGACCAAGAAATGAACTCTGTCCTGGCCGAGCTGTCCCGGGTAAGGCCTCCCTCTGCTGCTTGGGCTGGGTACAAGCCTCCTGCCACAACGGTCCTGCCCCTGTCACACTACTCCTTTGCAGGGAAGCCCTTGGGACCTCAGCAGCCCTGTGAACTGGTTGGGGCAGGACACAAACCTTCATTATAAGAGCAGAATGTTCCAGGTGCCCCTGTAAAAGGCCAGGGCTCCCAACATCTCATCACAGAGCAAGCAGGGGTCTTGTCCCGACAGCTGCCCCCTAATCTGACTCAGCCAGGTGCTTGGTGCCTGCAGCTTTGGCTGTGATCTGTGGATGATAGATCTGGGATTTGGCCCCAGGCCTGCCTGGCTCTGCCTGCACATGTCTTCCCACTGTTCTGCCTTCCTCGGTGGTAGAGACATGCCCCACCTACTCCTAACACAGCCCGAAACGTAACTCCAGGGAATTTATAAACAATGTTTCCGAAATGATGATGATGATGGTTGGTGTCAACCACGCTGCAATACGGCTACCATTTTGGGGTGTTGGTTTGTGTCAAGCCTTTCATGGGGCACTTTGATTGTTTCATTTGATCTCCATAAGAGCTCCCCAAGTTAGGTGACGTGACTCTGTTGTCCTGATGAGGAAGTTGAGGCTCAGAGATGTCCCCATGGAGGGGCTTGAGAGTGACTTGAGGAAATACTTGAGTTAGATCAGAGCAGAATCATGCCGGCCTCACAGCCTGCAAGCAGCATCTGTCCCACTGTCCCCTGCCTCTGTAATCGTCTGGAATGGCAGAGGGTCCGGGCCAGAGCCTCGAGGCACAAGACAGGCAGGGCCCCAGTGGAAACCCCAGGCCTTGCTGAAACTGCAGACCTGGGCTCTCTTCCTACCAAAGAGGCCCTCTGGCCCTATCCTGCCCCAGCTGGGTACGCCTCGCCTGGGGTCCCTGGTCTGCACAGGGCTCTGCTTCCCACTGCGGGGCTTATCCTTTCTTCCATGTCTCAGGCCCCTCCTCCCCATCCCTCTTCCCTGGGGTCCTGGGCTGCTCCAAGCTGGCTGCACCCCTCATCTCTCTCACCTCTCATTTGGCCTCCTCCCTAGAACTACTCTGGAGACCTTGGGGCGCGAGTGGCCCTGCATGAACTCTACAAGTATATCAACAAGTACTACGATCAGGTGGGCAGGCCCTGGGCTCTGACTGGGAGGCCGACCTTGAGGCTCCCCTGGAGGTTGAGGGGATGGATATGAGAGGGGGTCTGGCCCTGTGACTCAAGGTGGGAGCCCTCAGATCTCCCCCAGGTACAGTGTGAGGTGGGGTTGGACCCCTTGGGGTTCGGGAAGTGTTCTTCAGGCATGCCCCTAAAATTTGCTGTGCTCCTCCCAGTCCCTCACTCCCCATCCCTGCTCCTCTGTGGGTTCCCAGGCATGGTGCTGGTGGTTGGGGGCTGGGGGATCTGCTAGGGCCTGGAGATAGTGTACAGGATGTGCTGAGAGGGACACAGCTGCCCCCTCTGCCCCGACCATGCCCCCACTCAGTCCCTGCCAGAGTCTGATGCTGGCAGTGTGTTGCATGTGGCCACCTCTGCAGGTGCAGGCCTGGCCTGGCTGTATGAGCCACCAGAGAGGAGGGTGCGGGCATAGGACCAGGCTGAGTAAGGGGACAATGGAACTGGTGAGGGGGTTTTCTGGGGGATCCCTGGGCTGGGCCTGAAGATGTGAGCACCCACCAGCCAGCCTGTTGAGTGCCTGATGGAATTGTCCACCCAGATGTTTGTGTGGCACCAGCGATATGGTCATTGCTGTTCAGAGATAAGGAACTTGCCTCACAGCCCACAGCCTTCCTCAGCATGGTGTGGGCCATGGTGTGGGGGTGGTGGGAGTGTCGCAGTCACGTCCCCTCCTGGAGACGTGGTGGGCGATGGCTATTCTCCCCCATTGCTGCTGCCCTCTCAGTTTCCACCCCTTCCCCTGTGGCATCCCCTGTTTGTGGTTATGTAATTGCTTGTGTTTGATCAATATCTGTCTCCCTGTCCACATTTGTCTGGTCATTATTGGGTCCCTGTCCTTGCCTGGCACCTGGCTTATGGGAACTCAGGAAGTGCTCTTGTGCTAGGCGGGCCTCTGAGAGGCTCAGTACTGAGTGAAGGGCTTCATTCCCCACCATAATACTCCTTAAAACCGCACGGCACTTTTGCTGTTAGTATCCCTCCCGCCGCCGAGGCCCTGAGGTCACAGGAAGTAAGCGAAGCAATTTGCTGGGTTTCTTGGGCTCCTACCCCAGTTTTGCTGCAGCAGCTTAGGAGGGCTGTTGCAGTCTGCAGTAAACGTGTAAGCCAAGGAAGTCTCCCCTGATGGTGCTGGTCTCTGTGTTCCAGATCATCACAGCCCTCGAGGAGGACGGCACAGCCCAGAAGATGCAGCTGGGCTATCGGCTCCAGCAGATTGCAGCTGCTGTGGAAAACAAAGTCACGGATCTATAGGGACCCAGGAGCCCTGGCCTGCTGTCACCTCAGCCCTGCCTGGGCAGCCCTGGAACCTCGAGGGAGAGACCACCTTCTTAGATGCCTATAGTGACTGACAAGCAGAGTTAGTAGAAGGTGACTCCCAGTCTCCTGGTGGCTCTGGCCTTGGCCCTGCTGGACTCACATTGCAGGTTTGGGGCCCTGAGGCTCATGGGGTACTACCCAGCCAGCCCGCTGAGCCGAGTGACCCTGTGGGCCATTTCCTGCGTGACACCAGTCTGCAGGGAGTTAGGGACTAAGGGCTTCCAGAGAGTGGCTGGAAGAGTCTCCAGGCCCATGGGAAGACTGTACTATTCCTTAGTACTGGCCTGTGTCCCACTGGGATTCAGAGAGGAAGGAGCACCCACACTTTCTGTCTTCCTCCATCATGCCTGACCTCAGTTTAGCTGCCTCTGGCCTATTGCTGCTGCCACATCCTAGGTCTAAGAGATGAAGGCCTCTCTGAGGCTACTGCAAACAGACCCTTCAGCAGGGCTGGCTGCCTCAGGGCTACCCCTGTGGGGAAGACATCTGCTGCTGGGGGCCTTGGGGAGAGTGGTGGCACCACTGACCCAGCTCTTCATTAAAGGATAACACACTGCCTGGAGTCTGATGTGTGGGCCTGGCCCAGCCCCTCTCTTGAGTATGAGGGTGTCAGCTGTGCCTGGCAGGCACCAGGGGGAGGTGATATCTGCACCCTGGGGGAGTCTCTTGGTCCCCATGTAACGCCCCAGACTGCAGGGCTGGCTGGGCTCTCCTTGGCTCCTGGGCAGGGCCTGCTGGGGTCAGAGCTTCTGTGAAGGAAGTAAGAACCGCATCTGGGGCAGGGTTGAGAGAGGCCTGTGCCCCAAGGCGGAGGGGTCTGCAGTCTGTTCAAGGGGACCTGCCTTATCTGCAGTTTGGGTATTCTTACTTCTCCGTCCATGTTCCATTTGTCTTGAAAGGAACCAGGAAAGGACGGCATCATTACAGGCAACTCTGGGCAGAGTAGATCTTGAGGACCTTTTTCCCCGGTCCTGTTTGTGGACTTCTGGTTTCTCTGTTGCCTTCCAAGTCGAGGCATCTTCGTCCTAAACTGACTGTGCCTACATGAAGGCCACCTTGTGTGGTTTCTTGTGATTGGTAGCTGGAGGTGAGCTCTGTGGCTGCCTCAGCAGGAGGCAAGCCCCCCACCCACCCAGGGAAGAGGCGAGAGCAGGGCCCTGCAGCCCTGAGGTCTTCAGAAGGCCCACTTCTTAGCACTGTGCTCACTCCCATAACCCTGTGACCCCCATCCTCCCTTGCCCTCCGGCGCTGAGGCCCCATCTACCTCTTGGAGGTCTTCAATGAGGATTTGAAGAGATGGAGACTGATGGAATTCTAGGAGGAGTCCTCTTCCCTGCTTCTTTTTGGCCCTAAATAAAGCCGTCTACAAAGTCCTTGTACTTAACACAGGAGGAGCCATGTTGGTCTTGTCCATGCCAGGGGTGGTTGCAGCTGCTATTCTCTGTGGGGCTCTAACGTCCCTCCTTCCCCATTTCTGCACAATGTGGGGAATCACAGAGACACATGAGCAGTCAGGTGCCATCATTTGGGAGCAAGTCCTTCAAATGGGTGCTCCGGCCAGACTTTCACAGCCACTCAGAATGGTTCTGACTCTCCCCAGCTGCTGCTCTGGCCAAACCATGGAATTGATCCCTGTGGTGACAATCTCAGGGAGCAGGGCCAATGGGAACTCAGGGGTGGGCTTCAAGTGGGCACAGAGGGAAGCAGCCTTGGTCCACACCACAGGGACCTCGGCAGAGGCAGAGTTGTGCCTCTGTTCCTGGCCCAGCCCTCTGGCAGGTTTTAGGAGGCCCATAGCCAGGCAGGGGAGGCTCCTGGGAGAAGAAGGCCGTGTGCCTGCATGCCTGGGCACGTGCACATGGAAGGGGTGAGTATTGAACATGCTCTGAGTCATCCACTTTGGTGGCTCAGCCCTCACACAACATTGTTGTAATACAAGATGCGAAGAAAAAACACCTAGCATGATGAGATAGGAAACTCTAAGTCTACGCAAAACCATGGCCGAGAATGGAGATTCCAACACCAACAGAATTTTGTGGTTGCTCACTTGGGTCTCAGCCACAATTTCAGTGTAGAATGTTTGTAATTCAGTTTGGTCGATCTTTTCCTAATTTTTTCATTTCAAGATTGCAAAAGTGTGCCCTCAGCACTGTTTTCCACAAACCTGTTAGCATACAAAGGCCTTTGTTTCTCATTGTCACCTGTGGCTTCTTAAGGAGTTTATTCAGTGACTGACTTTATTAAAAAGCACTTTCACCAATTTAAATATTGGAATAATTGTCCAAATGGATAGAAGACCCAGGAGTTCTGTATTTTTATAAATTTTTTTTTTTTTTTTTGAGACAGAGTCTCACTTTGTTGCCCGGGCTAGAGTGCCGTGGCGTCATCCTCGCTCACAGCAACCTCAAACTCCTGGGC